CCCCCCCCCCACCCCCTCACCCCCCCCCCCGCCCTAACACACACACACACACACAACCCCCACGCTGGCACAAGAATCGCACGTGGGTCACACAACTCCCTCGGGACCTTCTGCTATTTTCCCCTTTGATCCTTTTACAAGTACATACGTGGGCAGGTACACCCGGATTTTCTGAGACGCTCCTCCAGGCTCTCCATCCGTCAGCTCACCCCTTGTTCCTTTCTCGAGCCTGTAGCTCCCCTTGCAGGCACCAAGTTCAGATGGAGTTGGCGTTCCGCGGGCGCGCAGTCTCTCTCCTTCTCTGTGTTCTCTGTCTCTGCGTCTCTCTCTCTCCCCCTTTCCCTTCCCCTTTTCTCTTGGTCTGGCGGTCTGGCGTTCTCCTTCTCTCGCTCTAGCTCTCCCTTCCATCCTGCCCCATCTACCCACTTTCCATTAAATGGACGGAAACACACACACACACGCACGCAAGCACACGCGCGCCCTTCTCTATTTGATCACTTTACCTCACCGTCGAGGGCCTGCAGCTTCCGGGAATCAAAGGGCCAAAAGCTTGACGGAAGGAGTCTTCGAGGTTGCTTCCAGGGCATTCCCCCCGGCCTTGGGGGTGACCTCATTGCAAATTATTGGTCTGTAGACCTCCACCCTCTCCCCGCGGCTCTGCTGGGAAAATGAGGGCAGGACAGCAGCGAGCGTCCACCCGCACCCGCGCGCACGCACGCGCCCACGCGGGCTGCCCCGAGCCGCAGCAGCAGGTGCTATAAGGTGGAGGTCAGGCCGGGATCCCGGCGGCGGCAGCAGCCCGGCAGCCGCCAGTCTCCGGGCCACTTTCCCGGCCCTTGCCTCTCTCTTCTGCCTTTTGAGGTGACCCTAGTCTTCGCAGCAAATCGCCTCTACGCTTTCTACCTCCTTTAATTCTCCCTACGCCCACTTCCTCACCGCCATCATCCCCAACAGGAGTCCCAGTCCGGTCTGCGGAGTCGGGGGCGCGGGGGCTGCGGCCGAGCGCCCATGGGGTCCCGCGCCGCCGAGGCGGGGACCGGGGGTCGCCGGCCCCTGCGTGGCCCGGAGGTGCGGCTAGCGGCCGGTGGGCGCGGGCGGAGTCTGTAGCGGCTGGAGGGCGGGACGCAGCCGGGAGGGTAGGAGGTGGCGCTGCAGCGCCCAGGAGGGACTCGCCGCTCCGCGCGCTCCAGCCCTCCTCGGGCCGCCCCGGGTTTACTGTTCTTCATATTCATTTATTTGCATTTTACCAACTGGGTTTTTTTTCGGAGCTGTTTACCTAGCAACTCTTTTTTCTTTCTTCCTTCCTTTCTTTCCCTTTCTTTCTTTCTTTTAAATTTCCTCTTTCTCTCCGAGTTGAACGCGCTGCGCGCGCGCGCGCGCCTGTCCATGAAGGGGTGGGGTAGGAGGTGATCTGTGTTTGCCTGGGGGGTTTTAAATATTTTGGGGAGGGTGAAGGAAAATTGCTAGAAGCCCGTGTCTTTGCAGGAGCAGTTTGTTGCGGACGACCTCCGCATCAGGCCAGGTGATAAAACGCGAAACTTTTAATGCAGCCTTTGCCTCCGGCGCGCTCCTGCCTCGTCTCCCAGCCCGAGACCGGAGAAAATGGCAAAGCCTTCACCCCCGAAGGGAGACAGAACCCGTTTCTTCTAGACAGATGGAATATGAGGGGTGGGGGACAGATCTACCGGAAATTCTAATCGTTAAAAAGTGCAAATTTGAACCCCGAAAGGGATTTTCACGTGGCGGCCCCTCCCCCTTGCACGCCTTTTATCCCGCACGAGGAGGCAGCTCGGGATTTGCCGGCGCCCTTCTGGCCCCCTCGGCCCAGGCTGGCCGAGTGACGGATCCCAGCCTGGTCCTCCTCCCGTCCCCGTCCCCCTCCCCCTCCTCCTCCTCGTCCTCCTCGTCCTCCTCGTCCTCGTCCTCGTCCTCGTCCTCGTCCTCGTCCTCGTCCTCGTCCTCCTCCTCCTCCTCCTCCTCC